ATAGAAGAAAAGAGCAGTCCAGGCTCTGGGAAGTGGTTTACCTTTTTTCTAAAAAAAAAAAGTGGATCATTATTAGTATTCAAAATATTGGAAAGACACTAGTCACAAGTACTCACAGAACCCAGATTGCATATGATAACCTCAGAGGTTGTGTTTTGAGGTGTGCCTTCCTGATCTGCAGAATGATAATGTTGCCTTTTATAAAAGCACATTAATTACTAGAGATATTCAGGGAAAAACTATTTAACCATAAAAAAGGTCTTACTTATTACAAGACCAAAAAAGAAAAAACAAAACTTGCCATGTTCATATCAAAATTAACACTGGTGTTATTGTATTGTTTTTACCAAAAGTGCTAGAGAGTATAACCCAAAAGTGGCAGTTGCATGACCTCTGTTAAGTGGTCAATAAGCTGATTCTAGATAGTCTGGCTAAAGATATGTAAAGGATTTCCAATCTGTTTACCCTTTACTTCAGTGTTGGTCCAAATTTAAATGGAAAAAGCTTTTGAGTATCTAGTTTTTCTAATGATCAGATTTGTATTTTGTGAAAATGTGTCCTGATGAATGTCAAAATCATTTCCCAGATTATTCTCTGAAATTAACCATTCAAGGAGTAAAACACTTTCTCACAGAACTTTAAAACTGCTTGAAATTTTGCTACAAAGTGAAAATATAATTTAATCCCTGTTGTATTTTAATTAACTTTTTTCTTTTTTTGTAGTATGAAAACTGCCTCAGAAAGTTCTATAAGCACCAAAACACTGAAGTTGTGCTCTATTTGGCCCGGGCCCTCTTCAAGTGTGGCAAGTTACAGGAATGCAAACAGACCTTGCTGAAGGTAAAAGGGAGAACTCACTATTGTTCCCATCCATTTCTATGCTGCACTGTATTTTTTAGTTCTTTTTAATGCGTGTTCACTTACCTACTAACATTCTTTTTTTCTTTTTTTTTCCGGCTGGCTGGAAATGATCCGAACCCTTGACCTTGGTGTTATCAATACCATGCTCTAACCAACTGAGCTAACCTGACAGCCTAACATTCTGTTTGACTAAAATCCTTTTCATGTCATTACATCATATGAAATATTTGCTCTATGTTTTATTTACAGGCTAGACATGTGGCACCCAGTGATACAGTTCTTATGTTTAATGTGGCCTTGGTCCTGCAAAGATTAGCTACCTATGTCCTGAAAGATGAAAAAAGTAATCTGAAGGAAGTACTTAATGCTGTGAAAGAACTGGAGCTTGCGCACAGGTAAAGATTTTGCAGAAATGACCTTTGAAGTGCTTTGTTTCTTTAAAGCCATTTGTCTCAAAAGGTGCGAAAAATCACTTCCCTGGAAAGATAACTTCGAATCCTTCCAGTGATATTTAAGCCAAAGCAGACAGCTGCCACCAGGTGGCGCCAAACTGTAGCCAGGATCCTGCCAGATTTGGATTCTGTAGCTCAGCCACTAGAACTAACTGGCTAGCTAGGTTTGCAAGCTTGCCCTAGATTTTTCATTAATCTGACAATAATATGACTCAGCATATTACACGTGTGAAATTTTTAGACTCCATTTATGTTGGTTTTACTTTTTTACACCAATGTGTGTTTTCGTGGGATGTTGGTTTTCATTGAGCTAGGATTAAGGTCTTACCTCTTAAATACTACTTAATGGGTTTATTCAGCTCAGCCCCA